TTAAAGTGGATAAACTAGCAGTAGTTTGTTATGACATGTTATTTTTTCCCCAAACTTTTGTCCCATATGATGCCTGCAAATATTATCATTTTTCCTGTGGTATGTTCCTAAAGCTTGAGTGCCATCACATGGCACTTGTACCCTAAGTACAGAAATGATGACTTTCATTGTGTCAGAGGTGACTTCAGCATTTCAGACTAATTGGCCTCCTAAAAAATGCCACACCAACCCTAGAGAAGTAGCTAAGATTCGTTCCCCGTTGAAGAGTGTCTTTATTTTACTAGGTGCCTCTGATCCAACTGGAAAAAGCTGGGGGAAAGAAATACTTTCGGTCCTTCCCTTTGTCAGGAATTGTGATGTATTAATAATGATGTAATTTAATCAGATAATAGCAGCAGTCTCACTGTTTTAATTGGAATGGCTATATATTGCCAGTATTTATGGGAAATTTATTTGTTCCAATTCATTTTACCAAATGAATCTTTGATCAGTTGAAATTAGTATCTTGTATAAAGTTACTTCTGTAATGCCCCCAGCTAGTGATGAGGATCTTAGTGCTATTATAATTTACTGTTTATCTTGACATGATTATCTTTCAGTTTTGCTAGATTAATATTTTTTTAGACTTCTTGAGTCTTCTTTTGTTGCTCTGTATCAAAGATTTGGCCATCAAACAACTGGAGGCTTTTCTAGAACAGCTGTGAGCTGCATTATTCCGTATTAGGTGCCTTATTTTATGAAAATTTAATTGTCATATTCCCCCAAATATGAAAACAATAGATACAGAATAGCATGCAGGGTTGCTGGTGGAAATTGTGAGGGATACAGGGTTGCTGGTGGAAAGCTGTGGCATTTACTTTGTCCTAAGTATTTGCCATAAAGGCCAGTGTTTCCCTTAAGCTGGTACGAAGTTGCCGGTACAATGTGTTCTTTCACGCTTTTCTCACACCCAGTTCATTTTTCTTGCTCACCAAAAGGTAAAGACAATAAAAGTACACTTTCTTCTGTAGGAGATAGGCTTGATTGCAGGGTCAGGACAGGAGCAGGAAGGTTTAGGTATGAGTCACTGTGCTGAATAAGCAAATAGTCCTTTAGTGGACAGCTGGAGTTTGTGTTTCTGGTGGTTGCAAATGCTTGCTGTGCAGATTAAATACTGCTTTGACAACGACAATTTTTAGGAGGCACTTGGAGATCTGACTGGGGGTTATTGTGTCTTGTCACCAGTTTGGTTGATGTATGTTTTGCAGTAGAGCAAACCAGCTCATGCTACAACAATTTTGAAATCTAGGTATGTGAGGATGTGGCAGGTATCAGAATAAATTATGCCTTCCCAGTGCAAGGTGTAGACTAGGGATTTTGGGAGTGGAATAGGGATTTAGAGGGGGTGCAAATTTCTTTTTGTTCTTTCCAGAGTCCGTTTTATACAAATCTAAATCTTTACATGAGATTAGGCATCTGTGCAGCTCCCTCTCCAGCTGAAATGCTTTGGAAAACTCTGTTTATTAAATTAAGTTTTAAATTCTTTTGTCTCTTCTCTGAAATACATTCCCCCCAAATGAAAATATGTTCACTGGACTTAAGGGACTAAAATAAATTCTCTGCTGGTAGAAAGACACTGTTTAAATATTGACTGTGGCCTAAGGAGGTGAACTCCACTAGAGGGCTGTTCAGGGCAAGAGTGTCAGCAGTTGGCTGGTTTCATCTTCAGAAACCACCGCTGTAAAGTCTATTCTGTCTGTATTCAACAGGGATTATCTTTTTAACCTAAAATATTTTCCGTTGTATCTAAACTTGGTAAGCCACTATGTTATGCTAAAAGGAACCTATATTTAGGGTTAAGCGTGCGTAGCTGCAAATCTACGCTTTTGCATGGTGAATTCAAGTGTGAGAGAATGCAGAGTAATTGGACAAACAAGCTTTGGGTGACACTTTTATATCTTTAAGAGGTTGTTTTATATTTTATATGTACATATATGTGTGTATATATAAAAATACATATGTATATATACATATGTATCCGTGTATATATGTGTATATATTACAGTTATGGTGAGATCTGTGAACCAGGCTGAAAATTTTCTGAATGTAATTTTGTGCTCTCTTTCAAACTTTTTGTATTTATATTCATAGTTGTTTCTAAAACACCTGCACTGGGTTGCTCCATTGACCTGTGTAGTTTACTAGAATAATAATGTTCAGCCTTTGTTTGTCTGGAAAATGATACCTTTCATTTTTAGAAATAGCTATTTGTCACTTAACACTTAACAGTTAGATGGCTACCTCTTCTTCCAGGCATTTTATATGTTCCTAGTTCCTTGGGCTTCATTTCCAGTGACAACATATTTTTGTCCCCACACTAGCTTTATCAACTCAGATCAAGAGCAGAATTATGTAATTTTTTTTTAAAATCTATTGTGACCTGTGAAAACTAATTAAACACTCCTTAAAACCTTTCATTTTAACTAGAAAGCCATTAAATAATAACTTTTATTTCAAAACCAGGCTGCTACAAAGCATGGAGAGGACTTTAAAAATTGCATTTCTGCAATAACACTGGAAAAATGTATAACTTGTTAGCTATCACCTTTCTTGAATATAGAGGAATGGGTGTTTGTCCTTACCAGAAGAGCATCGCAAAGCATTTTATAGTTGTTCTGTCTACATATGAAATGCTTGACTTTCAGATGTTTTCTGTTTATGAAAACGTTTGTGTGAGCAGACGTGTTGAGATGTGTTTTCTTTGTTAATAATTGAGGCCAGTACATAATTTCTCACTTACTTCAATATGCTTTTCACTATTCAATTAAAGTTGGTTTAAGTATTTTTTTTTATTGAGCAAGATTTTGTTTTTGAAGTGACCCCACACATTTAAATGGTTTTAATGCTACAGTTCATTCCAATGAGATAATGGTATATTATATAGTTGGAGCTCTTCAGAGCATTTTTGGGTGGATACACCATAGTTTATTTGCTAGTCCTGTTATGTTTGAAAATGAGAACACTCTTGTTTTCTGTGAACTTAAGTGTGTAAATATGAGAAGAAACATCACCAGTTGCTCTTTAAGGTCTCACCATCAGCTATTGTCAGAGCCGTGATTTTGAATAAAACTGGGTAAACTGGTATGTTTGTTCTCTTCTCTTTTGTGAGTACTAAAGTCAGTAAGATACAGATTTGACCATAAGAAAAGCGTTGAATCCTTTCTTCCAAAATGTTTGTTTGGAGGCTACGTTGAGAAAGTCATGTGCTGGCTGTAATATCCTGATACTCCCTGTGACACAGAGTGTAGAGGTTGAGTTCCTCCTCAGCTTTGCACAATGTGGATCTGATGTCTCCAGAAAAGTATCAGGTAATTAAGATAGTTTGTGGTATAATGAGGAAATTGGTATGGCTAGTGGATATTGTTTTGCTTGGTGTGAAGTTGAAGCAAAAAAAGTGCTTTAACTCCAGCTTGAAGTGATCATTATTTTCTTGCACTGTACATTAGAATTCATTTATGAATTTTATGCATAACAGCATTGGAGGAACTGAGAAAGATTACCCCAATGAGTAATAATTTTTAATTGTGTGCTGTAATCAACAAAGCCAATGTTTAGACTGTTAGGTCTACCAACCAGACTGTCTATATATAGAGACGATTATTCTGGGAGAATAATTTAAAAGGAATTTAAGAGATTCAGGAAGTTTATCTTGCAGTATATGTTGATGTATTTTTATTTTAATACTGTCCTCACAGCTAAGAGTAGTACAGAAACATTGCCATAAAAGTGCCAGCCAAACTAGGACTCTTGTCTGTGACAAGTATCTCCTAACTGTTTGCTCCTGTAATTAGAGGATTTCTCCTAGAGATATCTTAAAAGGGAAAAGGAAGCATGAGAATAGCTTTTAAATTTGCTGCCTCTTTGAGGAGGAGAGACTCTTAACTCTGATTCATAAAGGCTCTGACGGTTTCTATTAGTTCTAGTAATAGCAATCAAACATGTTGCTTCTTCCCCGATGACTTCTCCCCTCTGTGTTGGTGGTCACTGGTTCCATAAAAGAAAACCAGACTTAGCTCTTTGACCACTTAAGGTCATTACATTACGCAGGCCCAGTACATTAACTGCCTCAAATTTCTGCCCTAAATTATTAGGTTATACTGTGCTTAATAGGCAGTAATCCCTGGCAGGGGAATAGGATTGATATCTGGACTTGTAACCTCTTCAGTGGATCCTGCAAGACCTCCTCAACTGGAAGGTTTTGTGGTGGTTGTTGGAAGAACATGATGAGTTAAAGCAGAGAAGAGCATGAGAGCATCCTTCTGGTTACAGCTGTTAATTCTAAGTTAATTCTGTAGCTGCAGAAAACTGTTTTTATGTAGTTCCATAACAGTGTTTTTGTATCTTGCATTTCTTTGTTGCTAACTTTTGGAAAACAGATTGCGTGTACTTGCTAAAGGGTCAGCTTTGCCCTCTGTTGTAAAGTATGTTTTATTTTGATGGTAGCTCTGTTTAGATGTGGAATAAAGTAAGACAAGGGGGGAACAAATTGTGTCTAAACCATAGTGTCATGGTTTTGGTATCATTTGTGGTATTCAAGATACCTTTATGGCAGAGTGGAGATATAACACAAGCGACATGGGCCCTGTTGGACAGCAGTTGGAGACCTGTAGAGATACCATAGAGCCTCTGAAATGACATCTGAATCCCACCTCAGCTGACTCAGCAAATTGCAAAAGGAATTCTGTCCAAAGTGCATGAAACATAGCAGGACCAGGAATCTGTCTAGAATTAAGATCAAACACATCATCAACCTGCACAGGATAAATCCAACCGTTTACTCCTAAAAATGTGCGGGGAGTAAATAGAATACAATAGTATTCACTGGTGGTACAATCTGGACAACTTGTGAATGACAGCTGATGAGAAATACTAGTTGGTTCCTTTTTGTACTGAAAGAGTAATATGTGTTTATGTTGTACTTGTCCTTCACTGAATTACTAATTGTTCTCCTCCTGTTTTAGGTTATGGTCAAGCTGGTCCAATGGTTCAGAGAGGTGGATATGACTCCATTGCAGCTGCTGTTTCTGGTCTCATGCATATCACAGGGCATGAGGTATGGTGCTCAACTTTTACATTTAATAGAATCTTTGTGCCGTAGACTATAACTTGATGCTGCATGCAGCAAGTTAGCCTATGCTAATGCATCTGTTATGCACGCCCTCCTGAGGCCAATGAGAGGTCTTATCTCTGGGAATCTAAGAAAATGATAGTGCTTATGTCCTTCAGGTCTCTCACTCCAGACTCACAAAGCCAATGCCTGAGAAACAGAAAATAGAAGAAAAACGGTATCCTAAATCTCCAGCGAATAAATCGACAATTTATGCTAACCTGTTAATAGTCAATTGTCATCACTTCAAGAGCTGTAATAGACATGTTGTTGACACCTGAGTGATGGAACCATACATATGTGTGGGAAGTCTTACCCATGCTCTGATATTGATATTCCCTCTTTAAAAGAGGGAATTCTGAAGCCATCCAGATAACTCTGACAAACTAAACTGTCTTTTCAATCGTTCTACCTGAAAATAAGCAGGGAGATGCCATTAGTGGTTCTGGAAAAGCTTTATGTGCTGCAATTCCTGCAAAGATCCTTGGTAGCTGCAGTAGTGCAGGAAGCATTACAGAGGTAGTTTAGTATCGGGATTCCAGGGATACATAGAATGTGTGTCTTCACCTCAGAAAAATGCTGGTCAAATAGATGTTTATGTAAGCTGTCTTGAATCACCTACAGATGCAGGGAATGTGGTCTCCAAGTGTCACTTCTCAAGTGAGATGGAGTTACAAGTCTGTTCCATGCGTTATAGACACTAGATGGTCTTCTATGCTGGTGCTCCTGACAGTCTGGAAGCAGTAGTGCAGGTCTATAGAGTATGACACTTGCATGCCCTAGATAAACAAGGAGTTCATCAGGTTTCTGTACTTGGTGTCAGATATTCATGTTTGAGTAGGTTGTTGAAAGCTAACCATACATGATCTGGGCATAACTCTACTGTAGGATTGATGTCTGCCAATAGACTTGTTCTCTGCTGAGAACAATGGCAAACATCAGAACTCTGTGCTTGTGGCAATTATTTTTACCAGAGTCGTCCTTTCTGCCAAAAAAAAAAAAAAATTAAAAAAAAAAATTGAAGCATTGTTTGACTGCGGAAGCTGAAACATCTTGTGCCTGGTGTCCTAAGACTGTCTGCCCATTGCTGCTGTGTTAATGATACATACTCATAGGATGTCCCACCTCAGAACATGAGAAGAGATGAAGTTGAGTGCAGTCCTTACAGGTACTTGTCTTCAAATGTATAATGCACGTACACACTAAGTAATGACTGATCACAGTAATTGTAGTGTAAGTAATTTTTACATTCTGACCCTGGTGTCTGTAGAGTGAAGATTAGTATTTCCAGTACAATGCCAGAAACCTCATGCACACCTCAAAATATACCAAAGAAAATTAAATGGGAGTAGAAACTGTTAGAAATGGGCAAATGTTGTTAGTAGCACATGAATAAAGGAAAGTCATTTGAAAAATTGAAGAAAACAGGACTCTTGTAAAGCTTTTCAATGACATGTGAGTGACAAAAAATACAAGTGTAACACAGAATAATTGCATGCAAGTTGTATTATTAGGGTAATAGTCCTCAGTGGCTGTTATGAAGATGGATTTTATTAAAAGATTGCGTTAAGATCTACACTGGAAATCCAGATGTTTGCATCACCTCACCAGGACTTGAGGCAATGTAATCATAGGAATAATTTAATCATTGTTAGTAACAGTTCCATCTATTCACTGGGGGCTTTTAACAATTCATTCAAGCTTAGTCATTCTCTTGCATGGTTAAAATAAACATGCTAAAACTTGCTTATTATTTTTCTTTCATTGAAGTTGGTCCTATATTATTTAATCAGTTTCTCAAAACTATTTTCTGATGTATAGAGAGACAGTTTTGTTTCAAAGACTTAAGTGGTCAATGACTTGAAAGAAGCAAATGTGCCTTTTGTTGTTGTGAAAATTTACTCAAGTGGCTTTAAAATCTTATTGTATGCTTGGTTGAAAATTATTTTAAAATAACAGTGTATTATTAATAGTCAAACGTTCCATATTCTACATTTATGTTCATGTGACTGGGCTGTGTTTAAAATTCCACAAAAATAGCTCTGAAAAAAGTAGAAAACCTTGTTACCCTCAGCATGTAGAAAAATGACCAAAGTAAAGAGGAAAAAATACTCTTACTCTTTCATGCTTTTTTTTCTTTATTAAATGTTGAATTATTTGTTGACCAGATAACATGGAATTCTTATACTAAAAGTAACATGATCATTTGAAGCATACCCTAGTAAACTAGAGTATCTTTTTTTCCTTAAATAAAACTGAAAATGCCAGTCTTATGAACTGGGTGAGAAATAAAAGTTATAACAGATGATGCTCATTTTATATTGCATTGTGGTTGCTATAGATAATCAGCATAATAACATCAATATAAGGGGGCTCTGTGGAAACTTCCCTTCAGTAAACAAGCCATTGAATGTGCTTACAGGATGACCTTAGAGGTATCAGCTGATGCCACAGACAAATTATAATGAATTCGAGCAGCAGCAACAGAACATTTACATGCATCACTGAGGTGCTTAATTTTGAGATATGTTAATATATATTTACAGCTCCTCACAAAGCATTTTAATAATAGGACACTAAAATGATGTCCTGTATCTGACATTTTTAAAATGAATAGAACTAATAGCAATATATTTTCCATTTTAGCTCAGAGAAATTTCATGTTGTGAATTTTAGTTTGTTCCATCTGGCTACTGATTTAATTTCTCAGAAAGCAGTTTACTGTTGCAGATCACATAACTTTATTGGGTGCTGAGGCCTTGCCTCCAGTCAGTAAAGTCTTACTATTAAGCCATGAAATCAATATATTACCAGCACTGGATTTTGAGCAAGACTTAAACCTTCATTATGTTTGTCACATATGTAACATTCATTTTCTTCAATACTTTGTTTCATGTAACACTGTAATTTTTGAGGCAGTAAAGAGATCACTGTGAAAGAGATGGAAATTTCTAACTAAAAGGTGTGTATTTTATCCCAGTTATCTTTTTATTAAGGAGATAAAGTTAGTGTTATACAAATGTGGAATGCGCCAAAGATACGCAGTACAATCACATTTGACACACGGTATAAACCTCGTGAAAGGGAGACAAGATCATATGCTTTGAACATCTGATTTTTTTTTTTTAAGATCTGAGAGAAGATTCCTGCATAAAGAAATTCTGAATGGCCTGCTTTTCTTTTTTTGCTAGGAAATAGTTGTTACTGAAATGGCTTAATGCTGATTACTTTGAAATGCTTCCGAGCAAAGTCCTGAACCTTGAAATCAAGCTGTAACTTCTGCAGTATTGCAAAGTTACAGGCACAAACCACCGCATTTGTGCTAGTGTTGTTTTTGCTGATTGTACAAAACCAAACACATTCAGTGTGCAGTGGAAAGCTATCTTTAAACCATGTTTTTATGTGCAGAAACCTGTGTGGAATTCAAGCTCTTACACATGTACTTGATTATCTCTGTATTAGAAATGTATGACACTTGTGAAATTTGAAATTCTAGTGTGTTTATGGACATTTACAAGCAATAGTAGGGAATCTGGTGTAAATCTGTACCACAAACCCATTTTGAATGAAAGTAGTTGCTTCAGGCTACGTTCAATTTTTCTTTACATAAATTAAAATATGCTAAAAGGACAAAGTTTAACTGATGACACTTTTATTGTCCTGGCTGACATAATTTATAGATATTTCCTGGTTAAACACCACATTCAAGTTTTGTATTTGATGAACAGAAAGCTTTTACTTAATATATTCAGATACATCAGTGCCAGATGAATGTCCCTTTGATGAAAGTTTCTATGACTTATTAAGGCAATAACTTGAAATTCATTAAATAAACAACAATTTAGGTACAAATCCCCTTCCATCTCCAAGTGGATTATTACGTGCAATTTTTGATATTCAGGGTATCTTTATGGTGGTGGATTCTTTCTTGCTGAAGAAACATTTTTATTTTATTGAACATGAGACAGTAGGACATGACTGGGATCTACAATACCAGAGGGACCATTCCTCAGCTTAAACCCAAACTAACTGCAACAGAAGAGTACACATGGTGTATATATAGCTCAGAGCTGTTGAAAAATACAGCAATTGCTGGTTCATATTAGCTTCAGCGGCTATTTCCCATCTGTAAATACTACTGGACTTACAATACTTTTATTAAGCATGTAATTTCAGAACAATTTCCATTTTTAATGGATCATTTTTGTATTACTGACGTAAGTTAGGCAAGAGAATTTGTGTCAAAGGACATAAAGGCTTGGGAAAGGAAGCTTCCCAAACATGTTGTGGCTATCTCTGGGCCAGAATGTGTTGACAAATTGTAAGGAATTTAGCAAACAGCAAAAATTAGGAATAAAAGTGTAAACTGGTGCTGAGATTGAGCAATAGCCAAGTGCAGTGATGCAAGAAAAGGTTTACTCTACTGGAGTGAATCCTCATCTTTTCGAATGGGCATGTCCCGGTGCTGCCCCTAATTATGGTTCAACCCAGCCCTTGAGCCTGGATGGCAGCTTTGCTTAGCACTTTCTCCCCGACTGCGGCTACTTTTTGTCCTTCTACCAGAACAGTAATATCACTTTTGGCTGGCAGAGGTGGCAGCGGTGGTGGTGTTTGTTACTTATAAAATAACTTGCTGGAATAAAAGCTACTGTATAGATCCTTACTTTGCTCAGGGAACTCGTATAACATTACTGACACAGAAGTACTGCTGTGCTGTCAGAAGCTCTGTCTAAAGGAAGGTATTTTGGTGTGTGTGGAGCTTTATCCTTCATATAAAGCAGCTTCCTATCCCTTGTTCTGCATGATAGAGATGAAAACCAGAATGAATCCATTTCACAGTACTTACAGCGATGCATCCTGTCACAGAAAGGCTGGTTTATGGCACAGGTGGATATTAGAAGCTGATTAAAGGGTGAAAAATGGCAACTACTCGTGGATTTTGGTAGAAAGACCAAGGAAGAGTAGAAATTGTATGGACTGCTGCAGAATTATAGGTTGTGGAGCGTTAGGATGAAGTAAAGCCAACGTGTTAAAAACAACATAGCAGTGTAGTGCTAGTAGTTTGTAGGAGTGTTCTGTGAGGGGAAATTGTAAAAGTATTTTTGGAAATAAAGGTGAACTTCTTACTGAGGCAAAGAAAGTGTTTGCTTTAAAACATTAGGTAGTTTAGTACTTGATGAGGAAAGTGCTGGAATCAAGGCTTGAGAAGATAAAGTCATATGTAACAGTCTTAAAATAGTCCTGATTTTTATGTCTTCAAAGTGTAGTTTTCTTCATCAAAGGTGAACTTAATGACACTTTGAAAGCAGCGGGAAGTGTTTTCAAACTAAGAATGTTGCTGCACATCTGTTTGCAAAATCTTACGTCTTTTTGATTTCTTCTCATCCGAATGTCTTGGCTGTAATGAAGAGAAGTGTTTTAACAAACTGAGAACTTGCAGCAGATAATATGGGGGAAATGTTGTTGGGTTTTTTTATTTGTATTTCTCAGTGATAGCTCTGAGGAGCAAAAACCTTCTCATGTGCTAATTAGTTTTCTCAGTAGGCCTATGCATCTAAAAATAAAGAACTCAAGAATTTCCTTTCCTGTTTTCTCCAGAGTTGGGTACAAGGAAAGTGGTAAATGGATGGAACCTTAGAGTTGTCCTTTCCATTGGGAAGCTGCAGGAGCTTAGCGTAGAGTGTGGAGAAGGAAGAAATAAGAGATTCTTCAAAAAAGAAGTACTTCCTAAAGCAGTGATCGCCTTAAGGATGTGTAGTTTGTGCATCATCCTTAATATCTAGGCTATAGATAGTCACAGACTAACCCTTACTGCAGTTTGAATGACAGTAACTGAGATTTTTTAAAAATGTTGTCATATTTGATACAGATTTTATAATTTTTTTAGTCACTTTTATGATATGAATAAAATAGCAGCCTTTTCCATCTTGCATAGAAAATACTGTACTGCAGTCTTTTATCCCAGAATTGACCTATTAATGCGGTTGATAATGCAATATGATATTATTTTTCTTCAAGTAGTTTTTAAACTTGTATATGACTTGATATCAGACTTATGTAAATCCTGTTGGAGTGCCAAAGAAAAAAAAACATAGTGAAGATAAGTTTTAAATGTTTTACGTGAAGCCAAGACACTTTTTTTTTATAATTATCATTAACATAACTGTCTTGTAATCTTAAAGTATGATTACACTTAGCAGTTTAGACATGACTAATTAAAGTAATTCTGTAAATTCAATTTTATTGAATTTATACTAGATTAGTTTAAAGGCATTTATGGGAACGTTGACAAACAGTTATTATTTATCAATTATACTGAATTTAAGTTGGCTTATGATAGGCTGGCTTAGGCGCGGAAACTGAGACAGTCCCATGAGGTTTGCGCTGCTATTTCTGGACTGTACTTAAGGGCAAGCAATTGCTGTCAGAATATGAGCATCCCACCACAAACTTTTCAGAGTAGGAAGTGGGACAACTTCTTAGAAGAAGCACTTTTAAACTCCTGTGGTAAATGCCTACCTTGACTGAAATTAGAAGTTCATTGTGCCATTGAGTGCAGAGGGGCCATATTTTGTACCGATTAGGGAAGTTCTGAAACACATAATGTAAAATGAAGATTCTTCCCTTGATGCCGGAAAAAGGAATGACATACTGAAAAAGGGTGTTTGAACCAACAACTGTCCAGTGATTATTGGTCAGAAGGTCAAGAATTTGCATATATTTACATGTGATATGTGTACATGTGTAAACAAAACAAAGTTGTTTTTGTTTTCCCACTGGAAGTCTGGACTGTGTATACTGGAAAATACAAAACTGAGATTTGGCTGGAGGAGGGCCAGAAAAGGAGGGAGAAAAAGAGAGCGAGAGGAGCAAAGCAATGTGGTTCTGCTTTTCAAATAGGCACGCACCCGGGTCAGCATACTGTGGAAATCCTTTAGACCTTTGTCTTCTAGGCATAATGAAATTCAGTTTTCACTGGATTCTTTTGTCTCTAACAGTATCTCTTTTCTTTTTGTGTTCGTGAGTTGAAGCCTTATGTTATTAGGGCAAAAAGTAGCATAATAAATCATTCACAATTCGGAGTCTGCAGCATCACAAAGTTACTGTATTGTGTAGATACTGCAAGAATAACTGCTTTTCGTTGGTAGATTTTATACTTCAGTTCGCTCAAAGATAGTCTTATTTCTCGCAGTTTTCAATGCAGAAGAGTGTAAACACTTTTTCAGATGAGTCTTGTGTAGAATGTACTATAACAAAAAGTAATGTTTTGCCTGTCTTGTCTTCTTTTTGTGTGTGTGTGGTTTTTTGTTTATTTTTTTGTTTTGTTTGTCTTGATCTGTTTTGGGGTGTTTTCTTCTTTTGCTTTAGGATGGTGAGCCTGTTAGACCAGGAGTAGCCATGACAGATCTTGCTACTGGGTTGTATGCATATGGAGCAATTATGGCTGGTTTACTTCAGAGGTATAAGACGGGGAAAGGACTGCACATTGACTGCAGTCTCTTGTCATCTCAGGTAGGAGTTTTGAAAAAATTGCTTTTAGTTGTGCAGATGTTTGAACCTAAGAATACCATTTTGACATAAATGAACGCAAATTAGTTAGTACAACTAATGACAACAATAATAATGGCAATAACGGTATTAGTGACAGTTTGCTTATTCTGCCACTCTGGTAGTGACCATTTTATATGACGCAGTTGTAGTTACTACTGCGTTATGTCTGGTTTTCACTTTTTACAAAGGATCTCCGTGTTCTTTGAAAACATGGGTTAATTGAGGTTTAGAATATCCCTGAGATTGTAAGTCACAGTTGTAGTAGATCATTGGACATAGGCAAGCATAAATGGTGAAACCACTGTTGAAAGGGAGGCCTTGACGCTGGGTGACTGAATGACTTGCGCAAAATGGCCCAGAGTAATCAAGTATCACCCAACTGTCAAAGTAATGTAATCCAGGAGGTCTGGCTTTTGGCTCTGGAAATTAAAGAATAAGCTAACCCTGAAGATGCAGCGTTTTCCCTAAGCGCATTAGAGAGAAATCTTTTGAAAATTGCAAAGACAATGTTTTGATCATGAAAGGCATACCATATACCACAAATAATGAGAACTTTAAATTGTCTGTGAACGTTTAAGCATCATTGGTCCAATGATTTATAATTCACAAAGAGAAAACAATGTTGGTATGAGCTGCATATGATTGGATGATACACTGGCTTGCTGATGTAGACAACCTGCTAGTAGCAACTGAGTATATGGTGCGTAGAAATTTTTGTGTACAATTTAAAATGGACATCAAAACTGTATGCAGTACTAATCAAAGCTACTTCAGTGCTCCATTATTTTCGTCTTTATTCACTTGTATTTTTCTTCACATTATACCTGTCACTACATTTGAGAGATGATCGAGTGCCCATTGTGCAAAAAGTTGGCCCTGGTGTGAGCAGGGGGTTGGACAAAATGACCTCCAAAGATTCCTTCCCACCTATATCATGGTAGGATAATAATGATTGAGACTAATGATTGAGGTTGCTTTTGTTTTAATACCTACTGCTCTTGTTTAAATACCTACTGGAATCAGATCTGGAAAGGAGGAGAGACCCTTGCTTAAATCAACAAAGAATTTTTCTTTTTTTTTCAGAAATGTTTGTAAGGACTGAAGTCTTCATCATACTTATGTGTATTTGTAAATGTTGCGTCTATTTGAAAAATGTAATAAGCAGTTTAGAAAAATATTTTAAATGTATGTTAAACTCTTCCATATATATACAAAATATTTAAGAAGTATTTTTTTGTTTAACCTATCATGTTATTTTATATTACAGCAGCTTCTCCTTGATCTTTTTAATTTCTAATTTTATTAAAAGGACTTCTGGTAATTTCTCTTGATTTCCGGACTCATTCTACTATTTTTTGCTTCCTTGTTCCACTGTTTTTTGGCTTTTTGTAATGAAGCCTTCTTGATTATTATTTGATGTTTTATCAAATGCTGAAAGTAAGAAGAGTTGAAGTGAGATGTTGCTGTAACTCTCTTCTTTTATTTCACCTTATTTTGTCACCTCATTTGTTTTTAGAATCTTTTTCCTTGGTTAGGATAGATTTGGCTATGCACAGAAATGTTCTCATATTGCAAAATTTCCATCCAAAGTTCCACATCTTCATCCTTTAGGCCACTCGCTGGCATACACGAGAAAGGGAATGAAGGCTTGGATAGATGTCAGTGAACAAAGCATGATACGTGGTGTTTGACTTCTACGTGCTTAGCTGAAGAAGTACTAAATGGTAAAAGGACAGTTTAGTGATTATTTTTTTTAAAAAAAACATTAACTCATTCCATGCTTGTTATCAAATTATAGTTATCTAAAAGTTATTAAGAAATAATTCCATATATGCACACTTATTGCAAAATAAGTGTTTTTATTTACTTCAGTGTTGGGTAAATTAAGCTGAAATAAGTTGGTATTCTGGAACAGAGTATGGGTATAAGCTGTTATTCAGAAAACAGCTGTTTTGTTTTAGATAACTCTATTACTTCAATCCAAATTAACTTTAGAGTGTTGGCCCAAGACTTTAATGAGAACTTTTATTAAACTGGAAAAAATATTTATGTATGAGGTGCTGGGGTACCAAAAATAAATGCATATGATCAATCCCATTAAAAAAAAAAGGTGTTAAAATGAGTGAACTAGAACATAACTGACAGCTGAGTCTCTCTGAGAACATCTAGTTTTCCTGGTTGATTTTCTTTATTTTTGCAAAACTGGTAGTTACTTGTAAGTCTTTAAGAGTGAGTGTACTAAGGAAGAGTAGCACAAATCTAAAAATTAATGTTAAAAAAGAAATTGCTCTTGCTGTACTTCTGGTGGTAATGTGTGTGTGTGGGGTGGTGGTTTTTTTTGTTTTTTTTTTTTTTTTTTAAAGGAGAGTTACAATTACTGTGATATGATCAGGTTCTTGAAAGATCCGTGCTTTCAAAGGGATTATGGTTTTACACACCAAGCTGAGATATCTAAAGCTAGCTCTTCCTCATGTGATGAATGTTTGAAAAGAATGGCCTTTTGAAGTCTCTAATGGATGCTGCCAAAACAACAAGGAACCTAAAATCGTAGACTTTTAAGTTTGTTAGGTTCTTGTTGCAGTTGATTAATGATGGGTTCTAGAGGTCAAACAGATGCATCGTGATAACTTTTCCTTCAGTGTGAGTTTCACTGGAGTGTGGTAATTTTTAATGAGAAAAAACAAATCTTTTTTTTCCTGTGTGTAAAACAAAACCACCGCTGAACCGTCCTCCTATTAATAGCATTATGACAGCAGGGACCTGTATGAAACTTTTGGCTTTTGTCGGTATTTCATGCACTGAGCTAATATAGCAGCATGCTTGCGCCTTTTGTCCATCCCTTCATCTGAACTGAGAATTGTGAAACCAGCCTATACATATGTCTTCACTGGGCAGCGTTGATGACTTTGACTATGTCGGAGAGCAAAAAAATTAAATGGACAGGGGTTAAAGCACTTAAATAATTAGAAATCCCTGAAAACCACTTGGTTTATTTTATAGCAAAAAACATGTACGTGTCCATCTATGTCTGTGCTATCACTTTTCTGCATGCCTTATACAAATGCAAGAGGATTTTTAAATTTTTTTTGGGGGGTGAGAGGGCTGGAGGATGCTTTTGATACTAATTCCTGCACAGATACGCTAATGACAAAGAGCAGTGAACTGAATTCAACTGTCAATGAAAATGGTCTGAAACTTTTTAAAGAAATATCCCACTGATTGGCAAGTTTGTTTAGTATTTAACTGGTCTGTGTAGAACCAAATGCTAAGTGAAATCCTGTTCTCTAAAGATATATTATTTTTTGAATGTCTTAAAGAGACATCTTTCTTTCAAATTCTGCGTATCGAACGTTTTACCCTATAGCTTTATAGCAGCTTGTTACTACCAAAGAGGATTTACTTCCCCACAACAAAATAGAATTCTAGGATTTTATTGACGAGAGATATGGTGAACGCTAGGATGTGGTTTTTCAGTGAGCACTAACTTTCTATATCTCTCATCTATAAACTTTTAACCCATGTCATACAATTCCTTTGAAATTTTTGACTTCTAGATGATTTACAGTTCTCAGCTCCAGACCTTTCAGCATCTAAATAGTGTCCTTTAGATGATGCTAGTAAATAAGAAGGAAGTGGGTTTTGGATTTGGTTCCAATTATGCAATTGTGCCTTTTCTTCTGTTGTGGCTTTAAAAAAAAAAAATCTCTTGGAAGTTTTAATATCCTTCCTGTATTTAATTACAACCAGGCTCCAACAAATACTGTAATAAGTTGGTTTCTCTTGGATTGAAAATCTGCAAGAAGTATTTTACATTTAATGTTTCTGCAATTTGGGAGTGTATTTTTTTTTCCCCAGATTCCACAGACAGGATAATGTGGTTAATATTGTTTGTATTATATGATTGTTCATCAGACACCTCTCTGCTTCTGATTATTATGCTTTAGTTTGTATTTGCCATAGCAAACTCTTAATCTTCTCAAGATTTTGAAATGACCCTAGAAAAACCTACCAAGTTGGTATAAATTGTTTTTTGTATATTCCATCTTTGTGCTTTAGTTTGGCAGTTAGGTCACTGAGATAATGGTGAGGTTTAGAAACTATTAGTTTTTGTTTCTGCATTGCTTTTTCCCAAGAGGGTTGTTTAAGGCTTATCTATTTAAGGTGCTTTTAGTGCTGTCTGTTCAGGGCTTTCATGACGTGTCTTTTACAAATTGAGTATGGATGAAACTGTTAACAATTACATACTGCCTGCAGGATATATATGGCATCACAGGATCCCTGAGCAGTAAGTTGTATGAGAAATATCAGTCCTGGAACTCAAATACTGTTCAGATGTCTTGACTGTATCTTCTTGCTTCTCTGCTTGCTGGGAGTTGCGAGTTGGCTGAAGACAGAAAGAAAATCTGCTTTTTTAGAGGCCGTTGCTGCTGGTGATTTCGGAGGCCGGCTAGGAGGACTGTTACACAGTTGTCTTGTTTTGGGTATGGTTTGAATAAGCAGTTCTTTTTTACAAGCTTATAAAACATCACCTTTGCAAAACATTGTATTTTTGATCTTTGTCATGATAAAAAATTGTGTATGCACTGCATGGAGAGGTTGTCCCTTTCACTGCATAGCTCTAATACAGAAAGTTAATAAAATCTGAATTAATGCAAATGTTTCTTTACATATGTACTGTGCATTAAACACTTTTCTTAGCTACTATCCTTGATAATTTCCGTTGAGGACATCAGTATAACTGAGAACAAACTTATCCTGTGGGGTTTTAAGTAGCCAGAATCTTACTGACTAGACCAGAAGACCATACTAACATGACAGTAACTCAATTTAATATTGGCCTCTGTGGAATGTGTGTTGTGATTTCTAATGATTAGTTACGCAAAAAGCCATTGGTAGATCATAGTCCAGCTGGATCTTGGATTTATTTAGTGGCTTTCTTACTCTGTAAACAGAGCACGTAC